AACTAAATTCAAAGTCCAAAACAAAACCACAAACCACAACCAAGATACCAAAATCAATTTACAAAATGCTAAAATATTAACTCACAAAATCTAAACCCACAAACACCGGGGGTTGAAAAACGGTATGACAGCAGGGCTAGGAGGGCAACGGCGGCCGAAAAATGATGATGACGGCTGGAAAAGTAGGCGACGATGGCGAGGTGAAAACTCCACTCTTTTGGACTTTTTCGGAATATTATTCTCCACAAATGAAAGATTTGAAGAGAGAATGATATATTTAAGCTCTTTTCAGAGTTTTTGGATGGTTTTTAGAGGTTTTGGATGGAGAGAGAGAAAAAACCGTGAGGGTCACTGAAAAAAATGGAGGAAAGAGTTATGCGACCGCATTTAAATGTCATTGCAATTAATTCCAAAACGACGTTGTTGTTCTTCACCTCATTAATATTTTCTGAGAATATTCTTGAGAAATATGCCAAGCTCCTTTTTTGCGATGAATAAAGTCGTCGCAAATATTTTTAATAAAGTCATCGCAAGAGTCGTCATAAAAAATAGTCGTTCTGGGAAGAATTTTCTGGAACTTTTATTTTTGACGACATTTTGATATGTCGTCGCAAAAAAAGAAGAATTTTCTAGAACTTCTTTTCAGAAAACCGCCAAATTTTCCGCCTTTTTTTGCCCACGCCACTGCCAGGTGTATAAATCAATACTTGCGACGACACGTTGTCGCAAATAATGGACAAACTGGCGCCAGATTGGTTTTGATGCTAATGTCATTTTAGTGACATGTCGTCGCAAATAAATGCGATGACAAGTCGTTCAAAAATTTTATTTCCTTTATTGCGACAACATATCGTTGCAAATATACAACGATTAGGAATGACAATTGTCGTCGTTAATAACCCTTTTTGTTGTAGTGTTTGTTTTTATTTTTGTTTTATTTTTTTTTGTGCTAATCAACAAACGTCATTGGTTAAAAAAATATAACCTCTACTTCAAACTGCTTCAACCGGTTATAGGTTAGACTTTTCCTTCCACGTGGAAGCGTCTTAGCCACTCTTTTAATCCAACAGTTTCAATTTAGACGCGGCATGCTACCGAGAAAAAGCATCCCAGCAGCATAAAAGGACCCTAGTAAAATGAAAAAAAAAATTAGCAGTCTTGTTTCCAGCAAAAAAACAACATTTTTAAACCCTTGTGTTTATTTTTCAGCCAAAACAAGGATATAATGTATAACATACATATTGTTAATAATGAGAAGAGAGACCTAGTAATATGGGGAAGTTTGTAAAAGCATCCCAAGTACTACGTTGACGCAGCTCTAAGACTTTTCATCCTCTAGTGAACATTTCATACTCAAATTTATTAGATAAAAGAGAAAAATAACTTTAATAACAACAACAACAATAATAATAGAGGGAATACTTTGTGTCAAACAAAGAAGAAAGAATGTTATTTTTCTTTTTATGACTAAGAATAGTCAAGACTCAAGGGATAACTCGAAATTTTGTACACATACAGGGAATAACTACGAACTTTCTTAAGCTCTTTTTTTCCCCTAATTATTATCGCTTTTCTTTCCTTTTTCATTTCTTTGAAAAGGAAAAGTTTAATACTGCCCAGCGTTAGTGGCATTCTCAAGTTGGTTGTCTGATTTGTATACCCACTCACCTAAAAATGCTTCTGCAAATACGTAATTTTCTCACTTGTTAAGCCCGGTGGTGTGAGCTAGCTAGTGAGGCGGGGCAAATTACTCTATTTTGATTGGGTATTCTCCTTCCATTATTTATATAAACAAGAAACAAAATCACGAAATAATTAGTTCAAATTGGTCTACAATGAGTCATGCTTTCAACATCATTGTTTATCTTGAAATTTTGAGACCCAACTGCAACCAACAACCATTTATCCTCTTTATTTTTTTTTAAACACATTAGTTTTGATTCGTGAATGCTTTTCCTTTGTGATTTGTCATCGTCTCCTTGTTAGCATGTCTAGGACGAGGGAATTCTCTTGCACTTTATTTTATTTTTGGAGATTTGTTTTATTGCTAAAGAGGACAAAGACTTGACTTTGAGACGTAGAACTAGTCTACGGGCATGCAATAAATTTGGAAGATGCCCTGGAAGACAAGTAATAATATATGGCCACTTACCAAAAGTTCATAAAATATATGGCCTTTTTCGCACCAAAAGAAAAAAAAAAGTAGGGCTGGCAATTCGTATTCGCGGGCTGTGTTCGGGCCGACACGATTACGGCACGACACGATATAGTGAGCACGAACACGACACGATTAATAAACATGTCAGAAACCCAAACACGAACACGACACGCTAATAACACGGTTAACATGACACGACACGCGAACACGATTATTAAATGTGCCATGACGGGCCGATACGAAAAA